TATCTTGAGTTTCTGGAAGAATTTTTGACTCAATTTTTTTGGAATAGGTAGATAATTGTGTAAAAAAATTATACATATAAATTTTGTGGCATTTAAATTTTTAGTTTGTGAGATATAAAAAACATTGCACATGGGTGTATAAAAACTAAGGTTTGAACCTATTGTTAGGATTTTCAAGATATCTCAAGATCCGCAATGAATTTGCGGTTGACATTTGTTGTAAAAGTTGATAAAAATACATCAGTACTTTACTTAAATTTTGAGTAAGTTTGGAAGGTCAGATCAGAAGTTATGACGTATTGAAGTTTGGAAAAATTTCTACATAAGGATATACAAGGATTTAGAAGATTTTGTCATATTTTGGGTGTTGTTGGTTACTTGAGGCTTATGTATTTGTTGTAATTGCTCCAAAAAGAGAAATTTTATATATAAAATTAGAGCTTTCCTTATTTTAAAGCTTGATTAAGTAATTAGTGATAGCTAGGAGCCAAATACTTTCTTGAAGAAAATTCTTTCTACTTCGATATCGCTATTAGAAACAAGTATAGCGTAAATGACAATAAAAAAATTAAATGTTTAAGGTGATTATTTTTTTGTAGCATGTAAGAAAGCTCTTGCACTTACAAATATAGCTTTAAATATACTACACTTATGACTTTTTAATTAATTAACTATACTCTTAGTTATACTTTCAAAAAATTTAAGACTGTAAGGAATAAAATCTAACTAAAGATTGTACTTTTTTAATCTCAATAAGAAGTTTAAAATATACCACATCAATTTGTATATCCTCTACTTTCAAAGATATGTATTGAGAAGACATTGATATTTCCATTGAATTGTAATAATATTGAGGCCTATTTATATAATTCTTGGACTAAAATTCAAAAAGTCAATTGTCACATTTTATAGCAAAATCAATTGTTTGACTCAATGTTTGAAGATTAAATAAATTGATCATCGATTTTTTTATCTCATATTATAATCCATAAAAAAATTGATTAATGAGTGCAACATCATTGTACTTGATATCAATCACAAGTTATCAAAATTATAAAGTATACAATGTTACAAATTAATTTTTTTATTGCAAAATATGAAACTTTTTTGTTGCAACATGAACTGCATTATATTTTGCATATATAGATCAAAACTTTGCCAAGAAAACTTTTAAACTATTTAATATTGAATCACATAATTCAAAAAAAGATAAAAATCATCATAATGTAAAACTAAAAAATAGTGTTGTAATAAACTTGACTCGTAATCTTAGAATTGAATAGCTTTGGAGTTGAAGTTCAATTGCTATTTATATTTGGTTGATGAATTCTCAAAACTTTAATTTTGTACCATCAAACTTCTTAAATAAGATAATTCTTTGTTCTTTAGTGCTTAAATGATATTTCACTATAAGAAAAGGAACATAATTTGGTGCCGATGTTGAAGTAGCTCTAATCATCTCTACATTTCTACTTTTTATCATTCTTATTTTTCTTTATGGTGGTAAATTGAATTAATGCATTATAAGTATAAATTTCTTCAATTTTTCTTACATTTATGCCATTGCACTCTTTATTTCAATAAGCTCTACTATAATAATACTAAAAAAAAAAAAAAAAAAAAAAAATGTCTAATATTACTTAAGACAAGTAAAAAAAAAGAACTTGAAAACAAAGAAAATACTCAAAATAATATCAATTTAGAAGAAGGTAATCCCTAACTTCTAATATGCTTATATCTTAAAAGAAAAAAGAATAATCCACTCTTACTCAAGAAAAGACAAAGCTTTAATATTGTAATTTATTCTTATTAATTTGTTAAAGATAAAAACTCAATGAAAGTAAATAAATAAATGAGATTTTTTGAAAGAAGTATGACAAAATAGAAATAAAGAAGTATGTATATTAAAAAGAAGCTGAAATAGCTATTATCAAATGACAAAAAACTATAGACTCTTGAAACTAGACTAAAAACAAGAAAAGAGTTGACAAGAGTGAAGAAGGCTTTTCTTTTGCCTCTATATATACTATTTACCTAGGAGTTATGTAACAATGTTCTATAGAATCTCCAAAACATGTTGACTTTGCACAACACGTATCTTAACTCGCAAAACAAGTCTTTCATATGAGCGCTATATAGTTTGTTTGTTCCGGAAGCTATTAACATGTGTGGCATGTCGTAAACTTGTTGACCAAGTTTTTAACCTATCAATCAACTATAAACACATGTAAAGTCAAAACAACATTTATAAAGCTTTTATGAAGCTTCTTTAAAAGATATTATGAAATTAATTTACTTTTACTTCTATTTATTCATATCACCTAAATAACAATTATAATAAATATATGTCCATAATAAGATGTTATATTGCAACTTTCTTAACAAAGCCAATAAAGATAAGAAGTAAAAAAAAGTATAAAAAAATAAAAATGATTGAATGTACAGATGATATTTTTGAGATATAAACAAATTTGGTTCTACTGATTTTTTTTTAATCCTATTATTAACGTTGATATGAAACTAGAGGCAAATATGTGCCTCCATAAATACATTCTACAAAACACATTCTACTTTCATTCTTCCTCATTATCAACAAGTTGCATCTTTTGGCGGATTTCACAATGCTCATAAAACATTCATCTCTCATTTCTGTACAAAAAAAAAAAACTCTCCACTCACCAATTGCCCTTGTCTGATGCCCTTCCATGCAGATTTGATTTACTGAAGTCATCCATCAAAAAAGTGACCAACAAAATTGTATCTACAAAACCCAAATCTACAAGAATTCAGTGTAAGATGCACAGACAATAGAGACGGAGAGACAGCAAGCACTTGTTTGTTGTTGTTTTTGTGTGTAACAAGGAACGATGCATGCAGCAGTTAAGTTCCGAAAGCTGTGCCGCTGCATCACACAAACTCTCATGTTATGCACAATCCCTTTCATCATATAAAACAGATAATGGAGAGATAAGAGAGATCGAGACAGAGAGAAACAGACATACAGACAGACAGACAGAAAGAAAGACTCGAAGTGTTTTGGCACAGATCCACATGCAGTTGTGTCGATGGTCGGAGCCCCCGCGTATCGATGCGGCGATGCTGCCCATGACTTTGGGCGCCTGGCTACACACTACGCCAGACGCAACACGTGCTGACACGGTTGGATGACACTGGATGTGGAAAGAATCGCCGAGAGACTTTTGAGTTATTCAAGAATGTGTTTGGTTGTGGGTGCTTCCGCATCGACATCTGCACTTGGCTGTGTGGGTGTTCGGTCTTCTATCCCCAGGTGGAGTAGATCCATTGTTTGGGATGTGGGACGGAGAGCCTGTGTTCGCATTGGGATCGCTATCTCTCTGCCCTGATCCTGAGAACCAGGTTTTGTAGTTTGATGGAGTTACAGTGGCAGTTGGGTCCATTAACCACACGTTGTAATGTTGCGGCTACCTGGTGAGTTGAATTTACAGCGTCAAGTAAAACTCATAGAATTAGTAGGCCATCTTCAGTTGCAAGTAGTTCTGTCGCAAGAGTACTTTGTAAGCTTACCCTGGTCTTCTAATGGTTCAAGGAGCGAGATAGATTAACATACACGAACTTTAGCTCATTTCAATTCTTTCCGTGATATCTGCAGCTCTCGCTTCGGTCTACACCATATATGAAAAAACTCTAGAGTTACAGGTTTACGATGGTCTAAAACTTCTGACCGGAAACAACCACACTCCTCTAGAGACATGACATCATTTGTATTGGAATACAGGCTCGTTTTGAAGATGACGTTCCATTGCCATATCCAAATTGTAATGTTTAGATTCCCGACAGACTCTCAAGAGATGCAAAATGATTAGAAGCGGAACACAATCCGAACGAGAAATATTCTGAGCCTAACGTCATGAATATTGGATAACGAGACGTTGATCACAGGCCGTGTCGGCTACCACTCCCAAAACTTGGACAGCGATTGGACAGACTCCCATCATATCTCAGTGGAGTTGCGGCAGAGGTTCGACAGTTACTGCCACACTACACGGCAAAAAATCCGGAAACATTCCAAGTGCTTACATGCAGAGGAAGGAAGGCACTGGGGTAGAGCACGGACAAAGGTGCGTATCGATATTCTCACATGCTAGTTAATCCTGCGGTACTTGTGACAGGCAGAAGCACGAAATACATTCGCCCTAGAACTGGGCGAAGGGACAAAGGATCCAATGATCTAATTATGGCCTTCCAGAAAGCACTCGGTTTCTTCAACAGTGCAATCCTCCACCGACCAAAGTAACCCAAACGAATTATACAACACACAATTGTAGTAATTCTTTTCACTGAGTCCAGTGCTGACTAGGTCACAAAGGAAGTAACATCACAGAAGAATTGTGTTGTCCATTGCAATGCAACGGGAAGTGAGTTAATCACCTAGCACAATATTTTACTTGGTTGCTGTTGGCTTGTTCCAAACCACTGCTGGAACCACGATTTGAGAGGGCCACAGGAGGGGTCACAATGTTTCAACACAACGTCACACCCAAACCGAAGCATAATCATCAGATCATCTTGACGTAAATTTGTCATCGGTTCACATACCTCTTGCACAACTCAATTACCCAACGTCCACATACGATTGATCGCAATTCAGATGTTTCAAAAGGCTCATCGTTGAAACAGATGACGGCTGTTAATTCTAAAAATTATGAACAAACTGCTGGTATTAGGTTAAGAACTATGATTGGGAAAATACGATACACCCACCTCATATAACATTGATATGTGACAGATTCTATGTAACGTGATCTGGCGGCATCACTGAAAAATATACATATCTACAAGAATTTCAGCAAAATTAAGTCTTTCTGTGAAAACCCTAAATGTTGCAGGGATGGAGATCTGCACAAAAGCCAGTTACAGTTAAACAGAAACGCACAAACACATCTAGCCTGCAGTAATAAACTACTGCAAAGCACAGAATAATTTAATGGCACGAAGCTTTGGGATATCGGGACAAGACAAAAAAGGAAGAAATCCGTAATCATGTTCACGTGAATCTGTAAAGAGGAGCGAAATGAGAACGAAAGGGTCCCTCTCGATAGAACTTGCATTTTTAGAGAACACAGGTAAGCACCAAAACAGTGCTGCAATAACACTCCCCTCAACGAAGGTATAATCTGAAAACCCTAAGCAGTCAATATGACTGCACCCCCAGCCTCCTTGATCTTCTTCTCCGCGAGCTTCGAGAAGAATTTGGCCTTCACAACCATGGGTTGCGCAGGCAAGTCACCCTTTCCGAGCACCTTGAAGAATCCGTGCTGAGTGACATCCAAAAGAGGCGCGCTCTTCTCTCCGTCGGCCTTCTCCTTGATGGCTTCAGGCACCAATGACCACAACTTGTCGGTGTTCACGATGGGACAGTGGAACTTGTTCATCGTTTTGTGGAAATACCGCATACCCACCTTACCGAAGTACCCAGGATGGTACTTATCGAACAAGATCCTGTGGTGGTGCATACCTCCTGCGTTACCACGACCTCCAGGGTGCTTGCGGTGCTTGCCCACACGCCCATGGCCGGCACTAACATGACCCCTTTTCTTCCTGTTCTTCTTCAGCCGGGTCGTCATGGTGCTACGTCTCTACAGATGTCCCAGAGAGCTTTCAAAGCTCTTACAAGAGAACTGGGCAAAGAGTCCGGGTCAGAGCAGAGTTCCAACCTTCGTGATCTCAAAACCCTAAACCTACTTCTGAGGGTAGAAATCGCTCTCGCTGAATCCTGATATCTTCGCAACCTCGCCTCGAAGATGAAATCTATCCATATAAATGAAAAATCTATGCAATACATTCGGTGAATGAGCTCACAGAGTGTAAATGACGGTTATAGGCTACCGCGTGCAGAATCCGTAACCGTGATTCTTCAGCATCCTGTTTGTGTGCTTGCATTCTGCTTTGGTATAGCCATGGCTATGGCGATGGTGGTCAGGTGCATTCGAAGTTGAGGGGTGGCAAGCGCGGGCCATGGAGGCCATACCTTATTGGTCGGCGTCCGCAGATCTCTCCATGTACAATTCGTATACCAATTCGTCTCAAACGTCGACCTTGTGGAAGAGCGAGGCTAGAGTTTCAAGAGGGCTTTCTGGATGGAAAAGAGTCGAAGGGCACATGTGTTTAACACCGATTTCAGGTGACTTTTTGAAGATTTCGTCAAAAATTCGATTAAATTGCGTGTATTCGATTGAGAATGTAACTATCGAGAGCTGTAGGCTGTTACTTCGAATTCGGGGATTGAGCTCGTCAGGAAAAGTTAATGGAGTTTTGAGCTTGTTGAGGAAGGGAATCGGAGGTGGAATTTCAGGAAGGCATTCCGAATGTGGGTGCTGTAAAGCTCGACGTGAGCTGAGGTACCGTTTTCTTCTTACTGATTATATCGAATCCTATCGTTTGAAGCGACCGTAAACATCTAAAGTTAATGTAAACGCTTCAGAAAGCCTCTTGAATTGGGGTTAGGGTGGTTCCGTCTTGTCTCAGTGCGGATAAATTGCAACTCCACAACGTTTTCGATATGTCAATTATTCGTCTAACCACAACGGATGGGCATCGTCTGTCACTCCTTCGAAATTGATTTCCTTGCATGCTGATCTTGGGAATACTTTAATTGTCGTGTCAAAGACATGCGTAATCCAGAAGTAATTATCGCCAATTTCATGGATTCGGAAGGGACCAATTACCGGCTGTGCTAGTAATTTATTGTCCCTTACGACACTTTGTTCTTGCAGGTTCGGAAGTCTTAGTGATTCAATTGACATCAAGAGCTGGGCAAGTATCCAAGTTCAGGGACCGAGAAGACCATCTAATATATCTAGAAGATGGTACTTTCATAAACTTAGAGTTAGATGTGATGCAAGAAGAGAAGATGATAGAGGGAGGCAAGTAGTGGTGGACCATTACAAGGTGTTAGGCCTGCGCCGCCAAGCCACAGCCTCTGCTATTAAGTTGGCCTACAGGCAGCTCGCGCGTCAGGTTTACAAATCACTTCTTATCAGCCTCAAACACATTAACAGTGATAGTAGTCAGAATTTTTTGTACATTGGTACAACGATTGCCAGCGCTTCTCCTTTGTGCATTTCTCAGTGATCTTTATCACTGCTTCAGACACTAAGATTCAAACAAATAAATGAACCAAATATTTCAGGTGCTTTACTGTATGTGATTTTTGTTGCTGTGCAGGGTAAATGAAAAAAATGTCTTATGCGTTTCAAATAACATACTCAAGGATATCAGCACTGACATGCTTTTATGTGCAGTTTCATCCAGACGTGAACAAAGATGCGGATGCCAACGAGAAGTTTATGAGCGTTCGTCATGCATATGAGGTAATGAAGGGATTTACAAGCCTTGTTGTAATGCATGTATACTTTTCCAATGCATTGTAGTTTGACATTTTACGTGAAGTGGTTCCTTCTATGCCTCTCTCAGATGTCTTGTTAGATAAATCTTAGCTGTAATTTTTATCTATATGTGTGGGTGAAAGGTAATCGTCTGTAACGTGAGAGGTGTGTTTACTACAGGGCTGGCAGTAGCAAGTAACTTTTGGAATGTTGTTCCTATTGCAATGTGACTTAATTTCCAAATGTCTTCAGGTTTTATCTGATGAGGCAAGCAGGAAACTGTATGATAGCACTCTGCAAGAGCAAGTTAACATTTCGCGAAGAAAACAAGTATACCAAAGAAGAGAGAGAGACATCTGGACGCGGACAAATCATAACAGATCTCAATACAGAAGAGGATCGTATGGGAATGCAGAATGGGGTTATTCCATGAACTCGTACGAAAACGAGCACTCCAACATGGAGAGTTACTATTACACTTATCCTAGCAGTAGCGCTTTTGGCACCAAGAAGAAAAAACCATTTAGATATCCCAGTCGTGGCACATCCCAGGAAGAGGAAATCAAGAACCAAGATTCGCAAGTTGAGTGGCAGAGTATGGGCAAGGAGTTTTTACTGTTCCTGTGGGTTGTTTCTGCTATGTGGCATGCTTTGGGCGCTCAAATTGCCCTAGGACTGCTTCTAGGTTTCTTGGTCCTATGGAAAGATTTTGCAGTAGGTTACAAACTCGCTTCTGGCGTTGCGTGCCTAATGGGAGGAGAGAAAGGGCTTGCTCTCATGGTGGTTCTTATAGTGTCCACGAGAATCTTTGGAAGGGCTTATCATACTGTAGCCATTATACTTTCTTTAGCACTTTGGCTAGGAGGTGGAGCTCTCAAGACTGTGTCTTTACCACACGGAGCAATCCTTCTGTTGGTTTATAAGTGCATTCAGTTGCAGCGGTCAGGATCCACATTGTAAGCCTCAGATCGCAACTTTTAGTGCACGAGGTAGACTATTGGACATATGGTAATCACTGCACAAGCTATACAAGGTCAAATTCATGATGCTGGATTTCTTGCAAGTCGCTATGGACGTATCTGGACGGATCGAACTATGAGGGAAGCGTTGCATTGTTAGTCAGCTGAGTTGGATCAGGTACAACTTGGCCTCTGGGTTTTGACAGAATTATAGACCTTCTATCTATTGATGGGAGTTGGTGCTGTTGACATCATCTCTTATTTCCTCTTCATTTCCATGTATGGATCTATGTGTGGCGGTGAAACTGCAACCATCCTCGTGTGTAGATTCTCCATCAAGGATGGTTAGATGCTGAGAAGCAATTTAATGGAGGTTCTGAGCCATTTTTCCGTTACTTTTGTGTAATGCCGAATATGGAATTGGAGACTTTGTTGGACTTGTTGAATTTTTCAGGGGTCGAACATCACATTAACATTCAGGTACGATGATTCAATTTCTTCCTTTGCCTCCTGGATTTTAGTCACTTCTTAGAGGGATTTGTATTAAATAATTTAAAACTGCATTTAGAAAGAATTTATTCTCTTGTAGAAATAAGTTGTATGTGAGATTTTGTCATGCTTTGTAATGCCTTTGAAATAAAAACCAATAATATTAATGCTGACAAAATCAACATCCTCTTGAAGATGCTAGTTGTTATCTGTTATAGAGTTGCGATTTGTGCCCTACTTATATTTATATCTTGGGCAAGTTTTATACCATTTTTACTTTAAAAAAAGCTAGTATGGACATATGTGTCTTTACATACATATATTAGCAATATATTTGCATAGGAAACTCTTGTTTTGTTTTGGAAATATTATGTTATAATTAATCATCAATGTGTAATAAAAGCACTACAATTGGGATGGATATATAGATGGATGAATGCATATATATATATCCATCTCTTGATTCAATGATGTCAATATAACCTTTTTTTTTTTTTGCCAATAGAAAATATGAAGGATAGCAATGAGAAGATGGGAAATGGTGGTCGAATTCATAATTTTTGTTTGAAGATTAAAAGTTGCATATTTTGAAAAAATCTATATTAATTTAAAGACTCATTCTTAGATATTTTGTAAAGTTAATTCAATTAAAAATAATTCAAGTAATATAACTTATTTTTGGATTAAAAAAAATAATATAAAATATGGATATTCTCCTAGATTTATATTTATTTTTTAAAATTATAAAATACATATATATATATATATATATATATATATACATACATTCTTTTTGAAAACAAAATATGTAAGAAGTGGGTATAAAAGCTAAAAAAAATTACTATCATTATATATAAAAAATAATAATAAGGTCATTATTATTTATTTCAATTATTTTTAAGTCTTGTCTTTATATGACTAACAAGTCCTCTTATACATTGATATAACTACTAATTTATCATATTGTATTTTTTTGTGATTTCTTTATGCTCTTACTTATAAATTTTTAATACATGATTTATTGTTGGTTCTTTATGATTGAAGTATTAAATTTCAGCAATCATATACTGTAATTCGAAAAATATTTAAAATATAAGTTAAAAATAATTATAATACATAAAATATATTTTTGGTAATAATATTTGATTATTTCTAGATTAATAATTATATTAATATTTGATATTTAATATTATATATTTATTTTTAATTTAAAATAATTTAATATTTATTTTAATAATTATTTTTTAGCAAAAATAATATAATAAAGATAATTTTGTTTATTTATTAAATTATATTATTTTTTTTGAATTCTTTTTATTAATAGTGGAATGGATTGATTTCAAAAAAAATTGCAAGTCACACACTTGATTGATTGATATATTATCAATGTGTTTTATTTTTCAATTTTTATTATTTTATTATAATATGATCTTCATTTTTTTTTATATATAAATAACACATATCCTCTTAGAATATTACATGCTTATAATTTTTATTTTTAATTAATTACTAAACTTCTTATATTTATATTTTTATGAAAATAATGGGATTTTTTTAAAAAAAAAATGTTCTTTATTTTAGCTACAATTAAAGAGATGCCTTTGTAACAAATGTCTATATTATTTAAATAAATAGAAATAAGTAGAAGTAGGTAAAAATGTATTAGATAGATAACATCTTCAAGAAACTTTAAGGAAGTTCTTGAGATGTAGATTGGATCTTTAGACTCCAACTATATCACAGAACTATTGAAATTTCTTCTACAAGTATGCTACTTTTAGAAAGTTGTATTGGAAGCAACCTACAACTTGATGCTTAGGCCAAAAGTCTTCTAGTACTTAGAAAGCTTCTATAAGAACTTCCTAATAGAGTGATGCAACTTTAACCTTGTTAGCAATTTTTTTATATTCTAAACTTAAACTTCTCTTATTACTTTTAATGTGCCAATATCCATTTTATTTATTTTGTGTCTATATCTTTTTTACTTGTTTTTTATTTTTATTTTTAAATGTATAATTTGAATAGATTCACTTTTTAAAAGAATCTAATAATAGATTTTTCCAATATAATATTTTAGTAGTTTAAAATTTATAGAATTTTTTTTAATAACCACATTACATATTCATATGAGTTTAAAAATTCAATCTATGCCAAAAAAATCTCTTTGAAGTTTTTAACAAAGATATACTATCCTATCATCAATGCTCTATTTATTTCTATTTAATTATATTTATTTAAATAATTAAAAAATTAATTATACTTCTATCATTGCTTCATTTATTCTATTTATCTAAAATATAATTCTTTACTTAAATCAATTACAATAACTTATATACAATCTCTAAATTTATTCATTATTAGTTTTTTATTTTATATTTAATATTACTTTAAAATACATATATATATATATATATATATATATATATGTTTTTAATATTTTTTATTTCTATAATAATATCAATAATTAAGAGCTAAAATATAGTAATTTTGTAGAAAAGAAAAGAAAAGTCTTAAATCTCTTTTAAATGATTGAAAACTTAAAAATCAAATCAATATCTCTAAATAATAGTTTTGATGGAAAGCATCTATTTGTGATTGTTTTTTCTTTTATATTTTGTTGCTATATTTTGATATGAACAATTCATACAATATGCATGAAATTTGTTCATGCTCACATCAAAATATATTATCCACCATTAGAGAGGTCTTTTTTATCTTTGTGCTATATTGATCCACATGTCATAGCCATGTATCATGAATCAATCAAAAAAAGCTAAGTGACAGATATTAATTGAGAGCACACAAAAAGACACACAATAAAGACATCGGTGCTTAACAAAAGAATTCCAAAAGTGGAATTTTTGAGAATAATTTGGTAACATTGGAAATGAATCTAGACATCTGCTATTCCAAAATGAATTACTAAGTACATAGTGTTTTATGTCATAGTCTTTTTTTATCACCACACTGGTATTTTTCATAAGTCTGATTAAGTATTATCAAAGAAAAACAACCTGCAAATACTAAGCTTGGAAGATTGCTGATTTTACATTCTAGAATCTCATGTTCTATAAAACTAATGTGATAGTTTGCATCTGTGGATGTATTGGAGACTTTTTCATGGTATGTACTAATAATCCTCTTAAGGACTATGTAAAACCATTGCAAACTTTTGGTCTTTGTTTGTGAGTAGTTGCAATTTTGGAAGTTTGGTCTAGAACTGGTATTGTGGTAGAGAAAATTTGTCTTAAGAAAGCATTGGGCTTCTGGCTATTACTAATTCTTCAATTAAGCCTCTACATTAAGAAAACACCAAGTCTATATATAAAATTGTCCCTATAGGAGCAATTACATCAATACATAAGCCCTAAGTACCAAAGGTCACCAAAAATATGATAAAAATATTATAAAACCTTGTATATCCTTAAGGTGAATTTTTTCCAAACTTCAATAATTCATATCTCACAATTGAAACGTCCAAAAAAAACCAAAATTTTACATGAAGTATTGATATACTCTGAAAAACTATTACAACAAATTTTGATTGGAAATTTCTTACAAATCTTAAGATATTACTAAAAATATAATAGTAGCTTCAAATCCTTGCTTATATATACCTATGAAAAAATTTCTTTATATCTCACAAAATAAGTTTTAAAATACCATAAAATTTTAATGTATAGCTTTTTAACTTAATAATACATACTTTTGGAAATTTCAAACTAAAAATTCATCAAAAACTCAAGATATGGCTCCAACTATTACTATCAATAAAAGGATTCACTTATTACTTTTGAATTACATGTGTTGTCTTCAATTTTATAATTTCTTCATAAAAATTCTAAATGCAAAAAGTCTTTTATAAAAGATGTAGATCTTAAAATCATTCTTATAGCCGCACCTTTCAATCTCCAAAATGTATCATAAAACTCCTTGTATCCTTGAAAGAGCAACAATATGTCTTAAAAAGATACCTTAACTTCAAACAGCTATAACTTCATCATCCTAACTCCAAATCCTCTGAAATTTGTATAAAAATTGTAGTCCAAATTCTAAACCTTACAATTTTTTCTTCCAATTCTCAAATTTTTCTTCTAAAGTCGTTGAAATCTTTGTTGTGGTTGTAGTCAACCTGCTGAATGCCTATTAGGCATGGCCTTTGACCAATATAGATGAAAATCTTTACCTTTAGCCTTTATCCATCTATACCTTACTTTCATCCTTTCAAATAAGCTTCTTAGAGGTTTGAATCTTCATCTTTGAGTTCCAAACTTCTCTTTAAATTTTATACTAAATATCTAAATTCTATATATTTTAAACACTATAATCAACATAGATAAATCTCAAAATAATTTTTCTTACATCAACTCTCTTTATATTAACCTACTAACTACTCTAGAATATATCAATATTTATAAATATATTATCTATTTTAGTTAATTTTTATATACTATAAACAATTATAATATGACATCTACCTCCTTCAAATCTGCACATCTTTTAGCATGTGCCAATTTAAACATGCTTGTGCTTTTTGTCATCTCCATTTGTTTGTGCATATTCTATTTGGTTCAAATCTAATATTTCAAAATCTAAAAGTTTACTTAATATAAATCTACCATTTCTTCTCTTGAATGCCTTCATTTACTTTTTAGCCATAGATATCTTTAATATCATACCATCCAACTCACAAAGTAAATAGGTAGCATTTTCATGCACTCCTACTATTATATATGGTCGAAATCATCTTTGAATAAACTTCTTAAGAGTACTACATTGATATTCCAAACTACTATCAAATATTAATCTTCAATCTCCAACTTCAATTGAATTAGATTTCAAATGATGGATTTTGTCAAACCTCACTTTGTTACTTAATCTAGTAGCGTTTAATTTTTTTAATGCCATCTCTCAATCTTCAGGTAATCTTTGAAGCTGTTAAATCCAAAGCTCCAATAATCACTTTCTCGTAATACCATCCTTTCAATTTAATAATACTCAAGTAGGTACAAAATCTTCTACATGCACGATTGGCTTTTGATCCAATATTAACTTAATAGGCATATAAGTAGTAATAGTGCTATAAGTGGTTCTATTTGTTCATAAGACAAATGATAGAAGTCTTCATCATTACTTTGGCTTGCCTTTGCAAGCCTTAATAAGAACATTAATGATGGAAGGATATCTTCTCTCAGTGTTGCTATTAGCTTCGAGATTATAAGCAGTTGTCACTTTTAACTTCATATCATATCTTTGAAAAAAATCTTTAGCCTCTATTGTATTCAATTCTCCTTGATCAACCTTCATCTTTTCAATGCTATCACATATACTAAAAATATCTTCTAAGATGAATTTATACACTTCTTCTATGATTTTGGTCCTCAAAGCTCTCCCTTCAATATAGTTTGAGAGCTCTTCTTT